TTTAATATAAATATAAATAATGAGGGAACTATGGTCTCTATGAAACAAAGCTGAATATTTGGCAAAGCTTGATAAAGACAAGTCATGAAAAAAAAACTGTTAATTTAGGTGTGGATGAAACAATTACATAAAAATCTGGAAGGATATGTGCTCACTTACAATTCTCCTGCTTCAGCCTCCCAGAGTGCTGGGATTACAGGTGTATGCCCCTATACCCAGAGATCCCAGTTAAATTTTAACATTGGGTATGGTCCTCCTTTACATTTATGTGCCTTATTTCATTCCCACGTAAGTCAACCTACCTTCATTCTTTAAAATTGCAGACATTTAGGTCAAACCTGATGAAATATCATCTACTTGGCTTTGTGGTACTTATGATCAAGGCAAAACGATCAATAATATGAACTTCTTTATTAAGAGATCTGGTGAAATTCAGAAATTAACTTTTTCTCTTACTATAAAGCTCCCTATCACTTTGATTTCTAAAAATCTCAAGAAAAATAAAAACATTAAATGCATCGTAAAAACACTATAAGGCTAAAACCAGACATGCTAATAAAAGAAAATTTAGTTAAGTTATAAACCATAGAAAGTGAAGACGGACATGGTTTATACCTAATACTACAAGCAATTTGATATGGCGTGGTCTTCCAGGATTCTGCATCCACCTGTTTCCCATCAGGCAGGGTGACTTTAATCGGCTTGCTATCTTTCTCTGCCTTTTCTGCCAGAATGGAATCATGCTCTGCTTTTAGTTTATTATACATCTCCAGTCGTGTGTTAATATATTCAGGCCAAGGATTCAACTGCAAGACAACAGATGAAATAGTAAGTACTCATTCCTTTAAAAGAGAAGGAAATAAATATAGTAATACAAAAATCTGAGATTATTAATTCAAAACAGGAAACGTTGCAAAAATTGTGTTCCAAAAATTACTTTAATCTGGTTCAGGTGAGAGTAAAGAAATTACTTGTCTTCTTATAGTCGTTTACTTAAAAAAATTAAAAAGAATCATATAAACATCCAGATTGTTATTATCCTAAATTGACTATTAGCATTTTGTAAAATATTACTTATATTGAGTAAGTTCAAGTTTTTCTCTTCTAAGATACCCTTTTAGTTTTCTGTTCTAACTAAATGATTTCTAAGTACACCTTTAAGCAATATTGCAAATAAAAACTTTTTATTTTGCTTCAGTCTTCTTCAGAAAATAGTATGTATAGCTGGTCAGCCTATATGTCCACTCACCATGAATTATAAATTTATCTGACTCAGGGGTCCCAGTCAAAGAAAATATTTATCGAAGTCAAGGAAGTTGTAATGTTCTTGTTTACTGGAATATTTAATGAAAAAGCCCAGTACAACTGATAAATAGTCTATATACAGTTTATAGTTATGGTTTGTGTCTAGCTGTCCCTCCAAAGCCTCATGCAACCATTGGGTGGCTTCTAGAGTTTGTGGGATGCTGGGATTATGGGTGTGAGTGCTACATTGGTTCTGTGGCAGATAATCTGCATACAAATGTAGTAAGAGGGGGAGACAGCCTCGCTTGCTGCCACAGCTGCTGCCCTTCCCTTTAGCTGTTTCCTGCTGCCATGAACTGCTGTCCTGTGCCATGTGCCACTCTGTCTTGGAGCCAGCCGAGTATGGATTGAAACCTGCACCAACTGTGAGCTAAATAAACCTTTCTCTCCTTCCTTAATTTTGGGTGTTGAGCATTTTTGTCTCAGCAATGAGGAATAGTTGAGACAACAGTTGATAAAATTAAGATATTTATATGAAACAACCACAGAAGATCCCAAAACTGTGAGAAAAAAAAAAAATCTAACAAAAATTAACTTTTGTTGCTATCTGAGACATTAGTTTGGTAGTGGTGAATGTTTGATAAACATTATTCTTAAGACAAAGATGTTAATGTATGAGTTGTTTTTCTAAACCAAATCCCCAGTACTATATTCAACATTGCAGTGTTGGCACTTCGGAATAAGTAAGTGGATTTTGGGTGCAGTTTGGGCACTCATCTCTAAAAGATTTGCCGTCACTGTCCTGTCCATACTAACACTTTAAAAAACCAAGTAGTACTTCTTTGATCACAAAGCAGACCATTAACATTTACAGTTTATTATCTTCATGATTATAACATGGCTATTAACAGCTACATGAGAAACCAAAAATGGCTTAATTTTACTATGACCTATCTATAGCTGAACATAAATTGATCAGCTATAGTAACGACATTCAAATAAATGTTTCATCACTTCTTTGGTTATGTCAATACTACAAAAATTCTATGTATGGTCTGCCCGCTTATCAATGAGTTACATAACATCAGATTTAACCAACTGCAGACTGAAAATATTATAAAATTTGTAGCCTGGTGTATAATCTCAGCATTCTGAGACGACAAGGCAGAAGGATCACAAGTTCAACACCAGCTTGAGCAATTCAGTGATTTGGTGAGGTCCTGTCTCAAAATAAAAACGCCTGGGGAAATAGATAATTTCCCATACTGTGAAGGCTGTGGGTCCAAATCCCAGTACCTCAAAAAGTACCTACATAAATGATCTGCATCTTCATTGAACATCTTTATATATATATATATATATATATATATATATATATATATACACACACACACATATACATATTTACAGACCTTTTCTCATTATTACTCCTTATACAATATAGTAATTATTTACAGTATTTTAAATGTATACAGTATTATAAGTAATCTAGAGATGACAGTAAAATACATGAGAATACGGTAGGGTTTATGCAAATACCTCATTACTTGTTTTTTAAGAGACAAAGTCTAAGAGTAGCTATCTTGTCCAAGCTGGCCTCAAATGATTCTCCTGTCCTGCCTCGGCCTCCCCAGCAGCTGAGACTAAGTGTACCCACCACCACAGTGAGTTATGCCATTTCATATAAAGGGCTTGATAATTTCCAGATTTTGTGCATTCTTGGGAGTCCTAGAATCAATTCCTTCTGGATACTGAGTGATCGCTGTCTATCACATTCAATCAGACAAACTAGTACTCAATCTGTCTGAAACTAACTTGACAGAAAAATAAGAATCAATCATACATTTCTACAAAACCACTACCCACATAACATGAATACCATGGATTCTGGTGGTCATGACTCTATTGTGTCTACCTCAGAGGTTAACATCTGCTTAAATGTTATAGAAAAAAAAAAAACTAGTCATTATCATTCAAAAAATATGTATTTTCTCTGGGGATAGAACTCAATGGCAAGGCCAGCCTGATAGTTTAGCAGACTAAAGTGCCTGTTTAGGCAGAGCACAGCAGCCAGGGTTCGATCCCCAGTGTGCCATGCTGGCGCTGCCTGCGGGGCATGCTGAGATGGCAATTGAGACTGGGCATGGTAGCGCACACCTGTAAACCCAACACTTGGGAGGCTGAAAACAGGAGAATCACTATGAGTCTGATCTATGTGGTGAGACCCTGTAGACCCTATCCTAAATACAGGGGGAAAAAAAAACCCTCAATGGTACAAGCAGTTGCCTAGGAAGTGCAAAGGCCTGTGTTTCACCTCTAGCACCAGAGTAAGTAAATTTTCCACATTCTGTTAATAATTAGTTCTTACATGAAATAGCATTTATTTTTTCCTGATGTAAACTATCCTCATGAAAACCATTCTTCCTCTACTTTTATCTTTTGAATTAAAAGATCCCTGTTTACCTTTATAATTCCCTCCTATTCAGTTCCTCTCTTCCTTTATTCATTTAGCTGTTCCTTGGAAGTTTTAATCCAGTTACCACAAGGGTCCTTGGTGGTGAAAACTAATGGATTAACAAATGAATAGCTGAAAGCCCGTTACTCCACAACCATGACCTGAACCTCATTCCATCCAAAGCCTGTTACCTGGTTCTCTCCACCCAGTGGCCCTCTATTTTATAGCAGTCTATTTCCATATTCACTTGGTACTTCCCAATCAAAGAATTGCATGAAAAACCTATGTTTTCAACATTCATGGAACAGATAACCTGTGTCAGGCTCTAGAAAGGCAGAGGTGAGTAGGACTTGCATTTTGCCATTAAAATGAGAGCCCAGAAGAGGAATTAAGGTCTAAGACAGCGCTGCACACACTGTTCCAAGACAGGTCATTTAAAACACGTGTCACCACATGTCCTACCTAAAATTCTCTGTTCAGAAGATTTCTCTGAATTGCAATCTTTTCCACCTATTCCAAGGTTATTTCCCAAGCTACGGTAGAACAGTATGTGCAATTATACAGAAACTATAAACAATGAAATTTTAAAAAATCCATTTTACTGTGGACATAATGAATGAGAGATCAATAGAACTAAAAGGCCACACTTGATCACTTATAAAGCTATCTCTAAGTAAATGGAAACAATAAATTTAGCAACTACAGCATTTATAAACACAGCTCTTTAAAATCAGTTTATTGTACTACTTTCAAAAAGCCCATCCTTTATGCTTCTATATCTGGAAGTTTTCTTTTTCTTGTTTTGGCAGAACCGGAAATTGAACTCAGGCCCTTCTACTGAGCCATCTCCCGGGCCCCATATCTGGCAGCTTTCTAAAAGTCTCCAATAAAACAACTGCAATGACCAAAGCAAAAAGTGAACCACAGTTCACAAGAGCTCAAGATCAACAACAGAGCTGCAGGACAAGCTTAACTGCCTCATTAAAAACACACAGAATTTAGGTGGATTCTGGGATGGCTTTCAAAATTCTATTTCCTTTCAGTGAGGCTAAGGAACTAAAGCATTTTCTCTAGATTTTAAAGATTTCAAGTACTTGGCCTGAATGATTCAAATGAAAATGAGAAGGAGGCCAAGGAACGAGATTTTTTTTATTTATTTCTGTTGCATGCAGTATGAGCTCCAACGTTAAGTCTCTATCCCTTAACATTTGACCTAATGAATTACTAGTGCCTTTCTCTCTAACATTACTTCTGATTCTTAATATCCATCACAATTAGATCACCATTCTAGTTGCTTTCCCTTCACAATAACAACAGCAATCTTTCTTCCCTCTTAGACTATACTTTCCTAACTTTTTCAAGTCCCTGAGTTTTCCACTTAATGTCACCCTGACAACCGTCATAAACCATCAGAATCCTCTCACACAAAAGAAGTCTAGGACAGTTAGTTCCCTGCTACTTGTCAACCTTTAAAAACAGCTTCTGTAAGACAGCTTTTACCTCTGCTCGGCCTCCATCTCCGGATCCTTCCTTGTTCTTCTTCTTGCCTCCTTCTTTTCGCTTCTCCTCACCAGCTTCTACCTAAATAAGCAAAAAAGAAAAAAAGAGTTTTATATTTTAATATAATGGGTCACTCCCCCTCATGATATCTCCAAGCAAGTTTTAGAACATTATGTTAGCGTCTGCTAAAAATAAATTAAAATCTGACATTAAAAGACTGGAAAATTTTACTACTGGCAAAGTTAACTTCACAGCTTACAATAAAGATAAGCCCTAAAAAAGTAGACTGACAAGCCGGGGAGACAGCTCAGCAGTCTAAGTGTCTGCTTAGCAAGTGCAAAGTACCCAGATGCGATTCCTGGTCCCACATGCCGTGCTGGTCCCAAGAGGGGGCATGGTGGCACACGCCTGTAATCCCAGTACTGGGAAGGCTGAGACAGGAGGATTACTATGAGTGTGAGGTGCATAGTGAGACCCTGATAATCTTTTTAAAAAGTCGAGTGAAGTTATTAAACAGTATTTTATTTCCTCACATTTCATTTAATGACTCTGGGCTTTCACTTTGTTTACTTGGATCTGCACTAAATATATAGCCACAAAAGCAGGCAATTAACTCAGTAAGCGTATAGCTAGAAACACACTGCATATCTATTCCACAAGTACTACCAAGAAACTATATGTTCATAGTATTCTGATAGGCCTTGTGAAAGAAACAAACATAAATCCAAATAAAATCTCTCCAAGGAAACTTAAGGCCCACATGTTTGAAGAATTCCTGCAAGAGGAAAGAATACCACAGGAACACTATGACTAGATGTCAAACAAACAGCAAACTGCTGCAAGGGACAGAGGTTACTGAATTTCAACAGGCTGGATTTTAAGAAAATGTATTCCAAGCAGACAGTGCTTGTGGTCATAGTGTTAAAAAACAAAGACTTATGTGTGTAATCCCAGAACTTGGGAGGCTGAGGCAGGATTCAGAATTTGAGCCAAAGAAGGGAGGGATGGATGAAGGAAGTAAGGCAGGGAGGCAGATGAGGAAGGAAGGAAGGAAGGGAAGAAGGGAGGGAGGGAGGAAAGTAAGAGGACTAAAGCAGAAGTGTCAGGAAATGATACAAGTTAATGCAGACTAGGACTAAAAACAAAGCCAGCACTCAAAGTTATCAGAGGAATACACAGGTTTTAATTAGCAGGAGGAAAGCCACAGAAAATTTTAAAAAATAGTAAATTCTGTACCAGGGTGTGAAGGAGGAATTTTATCTCATTTTGTGAATGTGTGATCTTTAACAATTTTGACATAATCCATCTATATAAAGTGTAGGACTCAGTAGTTCTTAGTGCATTCAGTTATGCAATCATCACAGCAATTTTATAGCACTGTGTTCCCACTCCCAAAAGCCCCATCCCCATTAGTGTCACCCTCTACTCCCTTCTCTCCCCTCTCCCTCCTTCATTTCCTCTTGTCTTCCCTCCCCCCCTGCTTACTCTCTTTTCCTTTCCTTTCCTCTTCTGAGAGAGTCTTGTCTGTAGTCCCAGCCTCACCTCAAACTCATGATCTTCCTGCCTCCAGCTTCCAAGTGTGGGGACTACAGGCAGCACCACAGCCAGCTACTAAACTACTTTCCAGTTCTATGGAATTGCCTATTCTGGACAGTTCATAAAAATAAATGTGTTTAGCATGATTTCCAGATTATCATGTTGTAAGATGTAGCAGTACTTCATTTTTTTAATTACCACATATTTCACTTTATACCAACTGGTTTTAATGGTGAAACCCAGGGCCTCAGGAACATGCTCTACCAAGAAGCTATATCCCCACCTCTGTCTATTTTTTCATTGCACTGATGAACAGATAGGCTGCAGTTTTTTAAATCTTATAAAACATGCTACCTGAGGATGGGGTTGCTCCATGGTACAGCACATGCATAACATGCTGGAGACCCTGGGTTCAAGCCCTAGTTACACAACAAATGAAAAATTGAGTTAAATGTGCAATTTAAAAATAAACTAAGTTTAAAAAATCTAACTTTTTAGAAAATGTATTTAGCACAGGGTCTTACTCCACAGCTTAGACTCATAGTGATCCTCCTGGCTTAGCTTTACCAGCACTGGGATTATAGGCGTGCGCCACCACGCCTGGGCTTGGTGGCTGGCTCAGCATATCTGGGGGCTGGGCCGGTGTTGCATGTGGTGCCAGGGATCAAACCCTGGTCCCTGTGTTTGCCTAAGCAGGTACTTAGTCTACTGAGCTATCTCGACAGCCCAAAAATATGACTCGTAATTTTATGCTGAGCTAAAAATGCCACTACTGAAACTTGGATTTAATACATTTAAGTTCTTTTCATACTCAACAGATGAATAATCAATTATTTAATATACATAACCAGTCATTTAACTACAGGTATACCTGTGCAGGTTTAAAAAAAAAGAGAATAAGTTTCAACACAAAAGTGGGGACAGGGAGCTAAACTATGAAGAGAATCTACAGAATCACATTCCTTAGGCATCTCTAGGTTTGTAAGGGAAGCATCAGCCTGTGATTCCTCCCTGGGCAGATGATGGGAGGGAGGCTTAGAAGTACTGGTAACAGATTATGCTGAAGCAAACTTTTTACTGTTCCTATACCTATTTCCAATAACAGAAGTCAGTTCAAAAGTTACACTGAGATAGCTCAGAGTTAAGGTGAGATAGCTCAGCAGACTAAAGCACCTGCTTAGGCAAGCTTAAGCAAGCACAGGGACCCAAGTTCCATCCCAGCACCACAGGCCACATCAGCCCTGCCCCCAGAGAGAGCTGAGCCGGCCACACAGTCTGGGCATACTTGTGTATGCCTGTAATCCCAGTGCTGGGAAGGCTGAAAACACAGGAGGAACACTATGAGTCCGAGCTTCGTAGTGAGACCCTGTAACAGTCAAATACATTTTAAAAAAGAAGAAGAAAAGAAAAAAGAGTTACATTGAGGACTGGATGAATTAATGCATGTAATAGTGCATTATACACAAGACAACATTACAGAATAGTGCCAGGCCCATATTTAGCACTCACTACATTTTAGGTATTGTGTAATGGGGTATTTGTTACCCAAACATTGTTTCCAATTAATGGCATAAGTATTGGCTAGTAATAAAGGTGCTGGGTTCAAACACCAGTCCTATACAAAAGAGAAAAAGAAAACAGAAAAGCAAAAGAACAGTAGAGTATTTATGCACATGGAAAAATGCTTACTATGTCCTATTAAGCAAAAGAAGTTACAAAACAGAAGGTACTTTTTCTCGGTGAAAACGTCTATGCATAACCCCTCTCTATTCTAAATTAAATTTACATAGTTTAGAATGCAATTTTCCACATTCAAATTCCTTCAGGGGTCAACTCAAAAAAACTATAATGTATTAGCCTGTGGGAGAAATGAAGACCTCAAGCTTCTCTCCTGAGCTGTTTTAATATCTTTCAGTGTAACTCCATTTCAATGCTAACGTGGCTTTTAACAATCATAATCCACCTTTCACGTTTTCTTAAATTCCTTCAGGAGAAGAATACAAATATCCTTCTAATTACTGTTTCTCCCCCATCAGTCTTGTTGAATTCAATTACGCCAGGAACAAAACTCAACACCTTTTCACGGCTTTCTCTACCTTTACCTGGAAGCCCTGCCTGGTTTAACTAGTGAACTCATACTCTGAAACTCAATCCAAAGCGATGCCCCTGAGCAGAATTAGGTGCTTCTTCCACAATTCCCTACAATGGATCACAGATCACTATGACTATTCTCCTGTTCTCAGGGACTCAGTCCTATTCATCTTGCCACCTGCACTACCCAGCTCAGTGTTAACAGAATGGACCCTTGTTGAACATGTATTCGTTGTAAAAAACACTTGACTGGATAGTATGAGACCGACCCGGGCTATATCCCTAAAAAAATAGATGACAGTAAGGGAAAGTTTAAAGGCAAAACGATCTGGATGTACAAATGTGGACCAGCACCTAGAGGGACCTTCCATGGGAGTGTTACCGAGCTCACCTGGTCGATCACTCAAACAATGGACAAGTTAGATCAGACCTAGAAATTCAGTTTAGCCTTCCTAAAGTGCAGCTTTGAGCCCCTCTCCCCACAATTTTAGGATTAAATAATATTCTACTTTATTCTTCCTGCGTAACGCGGGCGAAAAAAAACCAGTCTAGGAGTTCTGAGCTCTAGACTCCAATTCTGCCTGGGTTTCTGATTAGACGCGTGACTCTAGCTAAGCCCCTCCACCCATGGTCTCAGTTTCTTCATATGCAGGGAGGAATTGGAGACCGATCGGATTCCTGTTCCTGGAGCCTCCGATCAGTTCTGGGGCCCCAAGTACCCCTACATTTACACACACAGCCGCGCTCGCCGCCGGTTTCTCTCAGGAGACCCGGTCCCGCTGCTTCCGGCACCGAGGAAAGCTCGGGCCCAGCCTCCGAGCCTCACTAAGTCTACTCACCGGCTTCTCTTCGCCTCCCATCGTCTCTTTGGGCTGCTGGCCTTGTCAGACACCAAAGAACTACGAAAAGACACCAGGGACTGCCGATAAAAGAGCGGAGGCCGGGACGGAGGGAACACAGCGCGTGCGTCACGCGGCCCCGGAACCAGCTGATGCAATCTGAAGGCGCCCGAGTCCCGCCCCAAATACGTCACAGATCGAGAGCCAATCGCCAGCGGTGGAAGCGGCCCCGCCCCTCTCCGAGCCGAAGGAAAAGCCCGTTTAGCTACAGCCTTTCTAGGAAGCCAGCGCCCCCTGAGAAGCGTCTGACTGGAGTGAAACTTGTACTTGCGACCCGCGCGGTACTGGACAGTTTTCAACCTGAAATGCGCGACGCGCGTGCGCTTTTCTTCCCCGGTGACTTTCGCTCGCCCAGCAAAGACCTTTCGGGCCACCGTAGCGCTGGAGGCGCTCAGGCCAAGCTTTCCGGAAGCCCCGGGCGCGCAGACTCCGGACCTGGCTGGCTGTGGGCTCCGCGCCACCTCCCAGGACGTGACAGCCGGCCTCTACTTTGCGTAGGGCAGTTAGGCTTCCCGAAACGCGAGCCCTGGTGATGGGGAGACGAGGGCCTTTCCTCGCTCCTGCTCTACAGCTCGAAGAACGCGCGGCAATGCCACGGGAAATGACGACGCCAACTCCCCGGATTCTCCCGTGAAAGTGCCAGCGTCTGGAATCAAACGGGCCGTGTTCATTTGTTTTACTGGCCAACTTAAAACAGTTGCTTATTTGTAGTTAGGAGTGTAAAGAGCACACTTTTTTTCTTTTTTTCCCTTTACTTTGATTTTTACTTCTTTTTTTT